TAAAATCAATATAAAAAAGTGAATCGCGATACCGCAACTCACTTTTTTTATATAAAATCAATATAAAAAAGTGAATCCCGATACCGCAACTCACTTTTTTTATATAAAATCAATATAAAAAAGTGAATCCCGATATCGCAACTCACTTTTTTTATATTTAATTATTACTAAAATTCATAAAATCTATAAATAACTTAGTCAGGACCTGGTCCGCAGGTCCGTTCAATAGGACTTATAAGTCCCAGGACCAGGATCGGACCAGGACCGACCTAACCATCCCTAGGCATCAATCAGTCACCAATCGGTCACCAATCAGGTATCTGATTGGTGACCGATTGGTGCCTAATTTTTCACTTTTTGACCTGTGATCAGCAAGATCATCATGTCGGAGAGAAAAGCAGGTATCACGTTCTTTAATCAAATTAAAGTGAATAACTAATCTTTTAAGGTCACCAGAACCAGACATGTGGGTACGACCAGTGTAAGAGTGATAAGTTTCTAAAAGGAGGTTGTTAACAGCGTCAATCATAGCCCGATTGGTAGGATATTTTTTGACAAATTCAGGAAAAGCATTAGGTGCAGCAGCAGCCTGATAATAACGCCTAAGAATGGAAATAGTGGGCGTGTCAAGGGAAAGAGGAGAAGTATCATTGGTATCCATAATATCCTTATTAGGAGACGCGTCTAAGAGGGAAGTTTCTTTGTCCTTTAGAGCATGCATGGACGCGTCAGTACCAGACGCGACAGAACCAGGCGCAGAGGGTGCAGCAATATCTTTAGGAGGAGGAGACGAAAAATTGTCAGCATTATTTTGTTAAGGAGGAGTGGTAGTATTACTGCCTCCAGCATCAGCCGCTGAGTCGGTGACGTAGTCTTCTTCCATAAAGTTGTCTGAGAACGTACGAGTACGTTTGGAAGGGTTGTTTTTATTGTTTGTTTGTTTGATGTCAGAGTTCGAAACATCAGAGCCAGAGTCTTTATTATCAGTCGATGTGCATGTCACACTTACATGCCAATTATAATTAAAATTCTTGTACTACCGTAAATCACTATTCTTTTGACGTATTGTAAACGATTAAAGTTATACTTCTTCTAACAAAAAAAATTATCTCAGTTGGTAAATAAATACCTATTCAACCTAATATAGGTATTATTTTATTTGTGAAAACTTTGTAATAACATCTATATACACTATAAAGATTAGTACGTTTTGACATATTTTCGAGAGATTCTTTACTTTAGCGACTTCTAACAAAAAATTTTATATTCAAATATCCGTAATATTTTATGCTGTTTCCAGAAATGTTTTCTTCAAAAGTTGTTAATACAACAGTTTTCAAGAAAAGTGGCATTGTATTTTATATATATACATGTATATATATTAAACTTGTCAAAAACTTTATTATAACTTGTAATGATTGTTAATAAAGCTATATTAAACTGCATTAATGGGCATTTTCAACTGCTCTTTTCTTTCTTTGGTATTGGACGTGTTGCTTAATTCGACTTAAATCCCATTCATCTGATAAGGTATTTAATTTTTCTCTCATTTCTTCGTTCGTAGGTTCACTCTGACTCAGAATTAAAGGTTCTAAAAGAGTTTCTTCTTCTAAACTAGGAATCCTTTTAGCTTTTCACTTACGTTTATTACCTGTTTCATTTTCTTGTTGTTCTTGCATTATAATGTCACGTTGATCAGAAGATTCTTCTTGAGGCTGTGATCGTGATTCCATAGTTTGTGAATGTTCCATTGTTTTTTTATTTCTTTTGCTTCTTTAAGTTCTTTTTGAAAATTCAATATTTTTAATCTAGATGTGCCCAATTTGCTTCTTCTGGGCTGAGTTGGTCTGGTTTTAAGAACATCTTCATAATAAATTGCTTGCATGCGGACTATTCCATCAGAGAAGCAATTCTTAAGTTGAATTACTCCTTCAACTGTCAGTTGTGATCGGTAAACATTTTTCCACGTATTACTATTTAAAAATGATTCATTTGTTTGGTCAAATTCTTGGAGGAGAATTTAGACTAAATTCCACATTGCATCATATCTTTGATTTATTGCATGATTTCCGGTAGATGCTGTTGGATCATTGAGGTATTCAGATAATAAGATTTCAATTCTATCACGTTCCGTTTGTACTGATTTTATTTGCATTTTTAAATTTTCCATATTAACTACGTTTCCTGTTATATTTTGTTTTATGAATTTCACTCCAAAAGTCTCCAGAGCTTCGTCGTATGCAAAAAAATGTCCTTTTCATTTTTCATTATTATCTATTTTAATAGAAGCTGCATAACGCAATTTATCTTCTAGTTTAGGAAACTTTTTCAAAATACCAAAAAAATGACATACAGAACTAGCATACTGAGTTTTAGCTGCTGAAGCAAATAAACCACCAAATGCAGCTAAAGCATTTTTTTGTAAATCATAATTTCCAACTCGAATGCTAATACGATGAGCTTTAAATATTCCGGCCCATTGATAGTAAAGGTACCAAATTTGAAGCGCCAAATTTGCATTTTCCCAAATTTCATGCTTACTAATATTTTTTTTTTTAATGTAGATTCGTATTGCTAAAGATACTGCAGTCCATATTAATTCAAGAACACGAACAGTGGACCTATAATCAACAACAGATTCCAATTTTTCCAAAAATTTAACTCCAAGTGAATTTGCAAGATCAAAAATTCCATAACTTGAAAAAAGAACAATCAAAACACTGCACATATCCTTGGACGTGTGCCATTGCCCAAGAATAGGACGCAGGTAAGGCTATTGATCCGTTAATTTAATTATTCTTTGAAATATTGCTTCATCAGCAACTACATCTAAATACTGTTATGATGTTAATTCAAAATCTTTTTTGTACATTTCTAAAGATTCAAAAATACCCTCGTCAGAATTTGGAACTCCACCAGGTTCTAAAATAACTACATTTGGAGGTTCTACTTTACATCTATGTTCAACACGATTCAAGATTTCATCATGTACAATGGCCATGTCAAAATTTGTCTGATAAATTGCAATGCCTTGAGAGTTAATTTGAACATTGAGTAGGTTATCTAAAACAGAATCAAAAATATCCAAAGTATTACTTATCATTTGATTCATACCAAATAACTCAAGTGGAGAACTATTTTGGTTTTCATCATTCTTATTTTCATACAAATTAAAAGGCATTTGGTGTTGAAAAACCATTCTGAGCGTCTTATGTGTACTGGTACGTGTCGTATCAAATATGTTTCCATATCTAAAAGTTGCTTCCTTAAAATCTATGTTATCTATAACACCTAAATTCCAAATATTTTCACTCTTATTAAGACGTTGACATGGATTTATGGATTTCATTCGAACCTTTTCTAATTTTCTTTCTTGACCGTCTGTATGTCCACTTATTTGCAAAGTAGAAAGAAGATGTCGGAATTGTTGATTGAGTTTTGGTTTTCTACTAAGACTCTAAAGTACTTTAGTAAACCAAACTTGCAAGTATGGAAACGCAATTCCAATTAATACTGAAACAAAAAAAGTTACTATTTTTATTAATTGCTGTTCATCAAATTGTTTTAATAGTTTATTTCGAGATTTAGACTTTCTATTTGATATCTCTAATTTTTTTTTTAAAATATCTCCACATAGATTTCCAAAAAATCCAGTTAAATATGATGGAAAAGCTGAATAGTAATTTTCAAGAGATGCCAGATTTTGAATTTCAGCTTTTTGTTTATTCAATTCTTCTCTTGATTTCCAAATTCTTTCTGCCAATTTATTTCCTACATCGGGCCATTGTTCATCTGAAATAAACAATTCTGAAGAAATTGTATTTGAAATTTTATTCATTTTTAAAAGAATTTGAAGCATGAAAAGAGTAGGTAATTGAATATAACTTGTTAATCCTATGTATACCGTGTTGATAGATGATATTGTAGAGGTGGTGGAAGATATTGATGACCTATGAATTTCTTCAAAATTACAAATAGATTCCATATCGATATTTTTTTTAGTGTTTTTGGACAATGTTATATTTTGAAGAAAGTGTAATGCAGGATTTAACATATGTGTAAGAATAATTTCTTTTCTATCTTGACTTTCATTTTTTACAACAAAAAGAAGCCAGTTCGCTAATGCTATGAGTATTTTATCAGAATCTTCATCATGCAATTTATCATTTTCACAATTGAATTTGGGTTTTCCTGATCCATTTTTTTGATGAATATACCATTGATTTCAAAACAGCTGCAACATATGTATCGGGAATCTGAAAATTCCTCATTAGCTAAATTTGATATATTCAGACATACTTCAAGTGCATTACAACTGAATTGTCCATTGCAAGCTACTTGTATATTTCTATTAAAGATGTTCCAAGAATGTTGGCGGCAATTCATTCCACGACTAAAAAAGTAGAAATTTTTCTCACAAAAAAACCACCTTCTTCGATGTATTATACTTTTTTCCATTTTTCTTATTTGTTTAGCATGACTTATATAATTTTTTTGATCATAATTAAAATGCGACATACACACTCCTAAATTAACCTTCCCATCCAAAAATTTAGTCGCAACACTTGTATCTATTTGCCAAGTTCCTATTAATTGAAAAATACATCTTTTACTATCATTACCGCATGTTTGTAATTTTCCATCAATTATGTCAACAATAGCACATGGTGAAAGGGAAGTTGACATTTCGTCCATAATGTATATTTCATTTTCAAGTGATTCAGATTTATTTTTTAAACTTTGCTCATTATTATCGTCAATTTCATCATCACTACTTGAATTATATTCATTTATTTCTTCACTTCGAACAGTTTTATGTGCCTGCAAAAAATTTTTGATGTGAAAAATATTAGATTGTTTGTTTGATTCAGCGTCTAATAATATTGAATTTTGGTTTATCAATTGTTCTAAAAATGTTTCATCATATTCTAGCTCTTCTTCTGAATTGTTATCACCTAAAAGTTGCTCAAATAAAATATTATTATCGTCTATAGACTTTGAAAAGCTATTCATATTGAGATTGTAAAAGTTTATTACAGAAATTAGGTAGTTTTGAGTACCTGTGATTCTTTTCTTTGACAAGAAGTATATATAAAATTAAAAATACTTGAAAATGATAGATTTTGATCTCATCTATCAGGAAATGTACTCAGATTTTGTAGTACAAAAGATTTATTTTACATAAACATAAAATGAAGTTAGCGTATTTTTTAAATTTTAGGTCGGCACTATAAATTCGACCAGAGTTAAGAAAATTTTGGCCAAAATTATGATTTAAAGATCGGTAATTTTAATCAAAAAAGAAAACTTTGGCTAGTTTAGAACTTTACATATATACTATATATCTAAAGACCATGCTATATATGAAATTTAAATTATGATATCATAGTATAAAAAATTTGCCCACTAATTTTGTGACATGCACATCGACTGTTATTATTGTTGTTTCGTTTATCTTTGCGCTTAGCAGGGCCCCCTTTCGGGTTGCTGCCAGCTTTATTAGCACTTTTATTAGTCATGGTAGTAGAATATAAGGTTGTGTTAGTATGAAGAGATAAAAATTTCTTCTGCGAAATTTTTTGACCAAGGATCTACAAGAAGGAGTTGGCAGATCAGGATCAAGTCACACTTTCGGTTTAACAAAGCTGCGCTTAAATTTTATTAATTTTTGCCACAAGTTACTTTAGAAAATACCAGGTATTCAAAAAAGAACTGCAACAAAGTGCAGAACTAATCTAATACAAGAACAATAATCTTCCTAGAAAAATACATAAAAAGAAATGCAAGATTATAAACCCAACAGCCTCTCTATATAAATAACTATGGCTACTCCCCCCTCCCGAATTATATCTCAAATCCGGTAGAATTGACTATGCTATACGTACTCAGCGAGACCCCCCCGCTACATTTAAAGATCGAAGAATACCATTGCCAAATACCATTAGCGCTATCAAAAATACACAAAATTCAATTTCTCCTATTTCCTATAAAAAAAATTTTACTTAAAATATATTTAAAATATATTTAATTTTCTTTAAAATATACTTAATTTTCTTATTTTATACTTAAAATATACTGAAAATTGAATTTTCGCAAAATTTGAATTAAATTGTATTTAATATATACTTAAAATATATTTAATTTACATTTAAATTTTGCCCATTTCAGTATATTTTAAGAATATTTAAAATAAGAATATTTTAAGTACATTATTATATACTTAAATTATACTTAAATAATATTTAATTTTTGCCTATTTCAGTATATTTTAAGTATAAAATAAAATTTTAAATATATTTTAAGTATAAAATAAAATTTTAAGTTTATTTTAAGTATATTTTAGCAAAAATATTTTTTATAGGGATTTGACTACATACTATGAATAACAAACCTATTTTACAAAGACCGCAGGGAACTTTTTAGTATCGTGCAGTCCAATTGCTAGGGGAATTTTTTAGTGTCATGCAATCCCAACAGGGACATCCACCTCATTTCGAATGATTCCTAACGGAGGATACCCACCTCATTGCGAACGATCCTTTGGCCTAAGATCTACCTAGATAAGTCAATCCAATGATAGTTCAACATGTGACCACCATGATCGGCATACTATAAAAACTGCGGTACCCAACCGGTCACCCCCTTATCACCCGAGTGATCATTAATTTTAAAATTAGTAACACCAAGCCACCATGACGATCAAATTTTCCAGTATCTCCCATCTCCCAAAGAAAATAAGGTTACACCAAAAAAAGTGACCAAGAAAAACAAAAAGCAAAAAATAAAAACATAAACCTCAGGAAAACTCGAAGTGCAATGAAAAAAACCTGAGTAAAAATCACCAAACATACACCTCAACTCTGTCTCCTTATTTTAGAAGACTAACTCACCGTTAATAACATCAACTAGCAAGAAATACGTTGAGCAAGAGCTTCTTCCAAGAAATACCAGTCTGGCCTGCAAACCACTTGGCCAGTTAGACTTTAAAGGCGTAGGAACCAAGACGCACTACTTTTCAACCTTTCAGAAAGCCCAGGGGAACGTTCGTATGGAACTGCCATCTTACAGTATTATTGGTAACTCCAAGACTCATGATAACGGTCCTAACTCAATATAAGCTGTAAGGAGTTTAGGCAAAACTAAAGACCTCAGTAATAACTTCATATAACCTCGAAAAGTCCTTTTACTATCACTCAAGGCAAAAAATCCTCATATTTTTTCATCTATGTCTTCTTGGGAAAAAATGGGCAGAGTCCAACGGGAGAGAAAGTACAATAATCGCTCTTTTTACCAAGTCACACTTTCGAGTAAACATGGCATAGCAGCCTTTATCTTTATTAATTATTTATCAAACTTTACAAAATTACATATAAGAAAAAGAAAATAAAATAAAAACTAACTAAAAACAAAGCTATATAGTCTCCTAGAAAGAAATTAAAATTAAAAGAAAGTTCAAAAAAAAATTCGCTAATACTAACACTTCCTAGATCTCCCCCCTTGATATATTCCAACCAAAGTAGAAGCAACTATGCTAACAAAACAACGAATGACGCACCCACTATTAAAGTCGACACTCCATCCTGCAAAAGCAGTTATTAAGTAGCACCGTTAGACAACCCATAAAACCCAAAATGTGATTAAACCAACATAATTCATATTGCATCAAGTTTTTTAACCAATCGGTTCCGGAGTCACGTGAATCAACATGGGTCAGAGGTGGTAAAGACGAGTAAGGTAAATAAAAAGATTTAGACAAACCTTTAGGCCTTGAAGATTGTTTAAGTGTTGAAGTAATGTTCATCGCATGTTCCCATAATCCTTTATCATGTGAACGCGGATTCCAAATTCGTTTACGGAATTTGTTGACAAAATTGTTATGTATGGCGGTAACCACATTCATAGCAGTGAGGCGAGGAATACCTAAACTTTCAAAAACTTCCAGAAAGGCGGCAGGCAAACAGCCACAGACCAGACTATAGGAGGACCAGTTACTAGATGAGAAAGTCCAACAAGGAAGGGAAGTAATTCTATCAACTAGAGGAGAGTAATCACAATTGGCATTATCACCCGCTTCTTTAATTTTTTGGGTAAGGTGGTGGATGTATGATGTTAAAATTTGGTGTAATTTAACACGACGCTTTTTGCATAAAAATAAGTGCATAAAATCTTCTAAGTGGTCTTCACAAGAACGACAGGTTAGAATCTCCACGTATAAATCAGGTCGTGTCCTTTTCAGTAATTCCAAAGTGGGTAGGTCTTCCAGAAAAAGTTGAAATTTTAATGTGTGATGTCTAGAGACATTCTCCTTAGTAAAAGAATTATCAAATTTAGGTTGGAACATTAATGTATGCCATGTAAGAGCCCAATCAACCATGTAGCGAGATGGATCCGTTAAGAGAGAAATAAAATGGAAGCGAAAAAGAGCTAAAAGGTCTTTCATATATAGCATTCGGTGATATCGTTTAAAAAGATGTCTTGGGTTGGATTCACAGATCACGTCATCATAAATCATAATATAATCATAAACTGCGGCGAGATCGAGACGGGAGATGAGAACAGCGTCATCAGATGTATGGGCAGTATTGGCAAGAGAATCAGCGAAGTCATTCCAATAAAAATTAGAGTGAGCTTTAACTTTAAAAGGCAAAACCGAAAGTTGTTTATCCACAATCAGTTGTTGAATGATGGCCCAAAGTTCAAAATTGGTAGTCTTATAATAAAGACGAGAATCTGAATAATCAGAT